TTTTTTTTTGAGAGGTTTTCGCTATAGGGCGCATGCGCTCGCCAGACAGACAGAGAGAGACATAGAGACAGAAAGCGAGAAATCACCCCCTGGGGGGATGGTCACGCCACAATCCCGTCTCCTCCATTCTCCTCTCGGGATCTTGGGCACACACGCACACGCGCCCGGCGTGAGTTTTAAGCCACCAGGTCCAGGACACGAACCGCGGTCGACTACGTGGGAGTCCAGTGACATAGCCATTACACTAACTGCTGGTTCCCAACAACACAATTCTTCAAAAAAAAAAAAAAAAACAGTTTTTATCCAAACTCCACCTTAACCCCATCAACCCTTGCAGCTTCTAACGGTGGCCCCCATTAGGACAAAACCAACACATTTTCGCAATTTAATTCTGGCACTTCTGTTCTGTAGTTAGTGCAGCTTTCTCTCCCTGGATAAGAGCCCAGTCCTGTAAGAATTGCCCTCAGCTGCAGATTTGGGAGTCCCCTGGCTATCCACCTACGGAGTACGTGTCAAGGTTTCCACAACGCCTTCAGATTCGATAATTTGCTAGGACAACTCAGAATTCAGAAAAGCACCACGTTTATGATAAAGTTCTGTTGGGTCATCAGAAAAGTCATGATGGGACCGCAGTTGGCATAATGGCTATGTTGCTGGATTCCCATGTAGTCGACTGCAGTTTGAGTCCTGGACCCAATGGCTTAAACTCACGTTGGGCGCGTGTGTATGCATGCCCAAGATCCCAAGAGGAGAATGGAGGAGAAAGGATTGCAACATGGCCATCTCCCCCTGGGAGGGGTGATTTCTCACTTTCTGTCTCTTTGTCTCTGTCTTTCTAGAGAGCGCACACACCCTATATAGCAAAAACCTCTCCAAAAAAAAAAAAAGTTATGATGCAGTTTTGCATAGAAAAACATAGAGAAAAATAGCACTACTTTCCCGATGACCCAATATTATAAGGCTAGAAATCAGGACCAGCCAGATGAAGGACACACAGGGTGAGGTCTGGGAAGGTTCGGATACAGAGCGTCTTTGTTAACTCCCCCTCAAATCCGGAGGCTTCTCTGCCTGACTCTCACTGATCAGAAAGTTCTACCAAGCTTTGGAGTCTAGAGTTTTCCCTGGGGTTTCATTACATAGGTATGATTAATTGCATTATTGGTCACGCAATCTATTGAACTGCATTTCCAGTGCTTCGCACCTTCCTGAAGGTGATCAGGCTGTTATCATGTGGCTTATTTTTTTTTTTAATAATTAACCACTTTATTTTATTATTTTTATTTCACCAGAGAGAGACACACACAGAGAGAGAAAGGGAAAGTGAGAAAGCAAGTCACCAGATCCAGGACTCAAACCGTGGTCAGCCATGTGATAGTCTAATGCCCCTAACCACCATGCCACCTGTTGGGCCCTATCACGTGACTTTAAGTCCCATTGTCCAGTCACATGGTCAGTCTTTCCCGCATGACCTGCTCCCAGTCCAAGTCCCCTCATTTGCATAAACTGTCAGGGACTATCAGGAATAGCCTATCATACTCTCCTATGCCCTGGGCAATTTAAGGACCTAGGGGTTACCTTTCAGGAAACCAAGGCAAAGATTAGATAAACTCCTCTTTACAAAAATGGCTCATGTTGGGAACCAGCAGTTAGCGTAATGGCTATGTCGCTGGACTCCCACGTAGTCGACCGCGGTTCGTGTCCCGGACCTGGTGGCTTAAAACTCACGCCGGGCGCGTGTGCGTGCGTGCCCAAGATCCCGGGAGGAGAATGGAGGAGAAGGGATTGCGGCGTGACCATCCCCCCTCGCAGTTGGCATAATGGCTATGTTGCTGGATTCCCATGTAGTCGACTGCAGTTTGAGTCCTGGACCCAATGGCTTAAACTCACGTTGGGCGCGTGTGTATGCATGCCCAAGATCCCAAGAGGAGAATGGAGGAGAAAGGATTGCAACATGGCCATCTCCCCCTGGGAGGGGTGATTTCTCACTTTCTGTCTCTTTGTCTCTGTCTTTCTAGAGAGCGCACACACCCTATATAGCAAAAACCTCTCCAAAAAAAAAAAAAGTTATGATGCAGTTTTGCATAGAAAAACATAGAGAAAAATAGCACTACTTTCCCGATGACCCAATATTATAAGGCTAGAAATCAGGACCAGCCAGATGAAGGACACACAGGGTGAGGTCTGGGAAGGTTCGGATACAGAGCGTCTTTGTTAACTCCCCCTCAAATCCGGAGGCTTCTCTGCCTGACTCTCACTGATCAGAAAGTTCTACCAAGCTTTGGAGTCTAGAGTTTTCCCTGGGGTTTCATTACATAGGTATGATTAATTGCATTATTGGTCACGCAATCTATTGAACTGCATTTCCAGTGCTTCGCACCTTCCTGAAGGTGATCAGGCTGTTATCATGTGGCTTATTTTTTTTTTTAATAATTAACCACTTTATTTTATTATTTTTATTTCACCAGAGAGAGACACACACAGAGAGAGAAAGGGAAAGTGAGAAAGCAAGTCACCAGATCCAGGACTCAAACCGTGGTCAGCCATGTGATAGTCTAATGCCCCTAACCACCATGCCACCTGTTGGGCCCTATCACGTGACTTTAAGTCCCATTGTCCAGTCACATGGTCAGTCTTTCCCGCATGACCTGCTCCCAGTCCAAGTCCCCTCATTTGCATAAACTGTCAGGGACTATCAGGAATAGCCTATCATACTCTCCTATGCCCTGGGCAATTTAAGGACCTAGGGGTTACCTTTCAGGAAACCAAGGCAAAGATTAGATAAACTCCTCTTTACAAAAATGGCTCATGTTGGGAACCAGCAGTTAGCGTAATGGCTATGTCGCTGGACTCCCACGTAGTCGACCGCGGTTCGTGTCCCGGACCTGGTGGCTTAAAACTCACGCCGGGCGCGTGTGCGTGCGTGCCCAAGATCCCGGGAGGAGAATGGAGGAGAAGGGATTGCGGCGTGACCATCCCCCCTGGGGGGTGATTTCTCACTTTCTGTCTCTATGTCTCTCTCTGTCTGTCTGGCGAGCGCACGCGCCCTATAGTGAAAAAACACCCTCTCAAAAAAAAAAAAAAATGGCTCATGCTTGGAAGAGCTGATGCAGCAGGTCTGCTGTGTTCAAGGCCTGCACATTTCAGAGACTTCAGGCCCGTGACTGGCCTGACAGATAACCATTAAGTTACTGCGATATGCTGCCTGGTAAGTTTTGTTTGCCGTGGGCCAGCAGGTGGCATGGTGGTTAAGACGCTGGACTCTCACATGGCCAACCACAGTCTGAGTCCTGGACCTGGCAACTTGAAAATCTTGCTAGGTCTGTGTGTGTATGTGCCCCAAACCCAGAGAGAATGGAGGAGAGGGGCTTGCAGTATGACCACCCCCCGGGGATGATTTCTCATTTTCTCTCTCTCTGTCTCGCTGGCAAACACACATGCCCTATGGCCACCCACACCCCCCCCCACACACAAAAAAGTTATTTCCCTGTGACCATGGTGCATGCCAGATATTTTAACCTAAATAATGTGATGGAGGAGGAGGGCTTTGACCTCCCAGTATGCTGGACTTCTTGAAACCTGGAGACGCGCGCTTAAGGTCAGCTATGTAGATGCATCCATGCCTCTATGACTGACCCACAGTAAAAACACTGCACACTCAGGACCAGCAGTTAGCGTAATGGCTATGCCGCTGGACTCCCACGTAGTCGACCACGGTTTACGTCCCGGACCCGGTGGCTTGAAACACGCCGGGCGTGTGTGCGTGCGTGCCCAAGATCCTGAGAGGAGAATGGAGGAGAAGGGATTACGGCGTGGCCATCCCCCCTGGGAGGAGATTTCTCGCTTTCTGTCTCTCTGTCTCTCTGTCTGTCTGGCAAATGCACACGCCCTATAGCAAAAACCTCTCCAAAAAAAAACACTGCACACTGGGGCTCAGCACCCCTGTTGGCACTGTGTCATGTGTGTCGCTAGAAAAATGAAGTGCTATTCACTGAGAGAAGAGGACTGAAAAGCTTAGCGCACTTTCCCCTGGACCCTGCCCTAGGTGACTCGGCCTTTGCTGGCATTATTAAGTACCCGTTGACTGTAACCCTTTATAATTTATCACCACTTGTTGAGTACTGGTGAATCATTGACCTGAGGTGTGGTTGAGACCAGCACAGCCCTCTTTCAGGCACCTGGCAAACAACCTGATGACAAATACTCGATCACATGACCTTTCTGAAGTCCTCATTACAATTTTTCAGGACAAAATCTATTAATTACCCCCATGTGTCCTGTCCCTTCCTACTCCACAATTGATCATCAATTCCTCAAACTCTATCCCCTACCGAGCCTCTTACTCCAACCCGAGTCCTCTGTCTGAAGCTCCCTCCCTCCCCCGGCCTGTCCCCTCTCCGTCCTGGCCACACAGCCTTCTTCCCTGTCCTTGAATAGTGCCTCAGGGCCATTGGTCGCAGTTTCCATGTTCACATCTTCTGATGACAGGTTCCTTCCACAGTCCTGCTCAAACGTCACCTCCCCAGAGAAACGTCCTCCCTGCCCTCTCTAACACTCCCCTGCTCCCCCACAAGCGGGTCCCCAACCTCTACTTGGACCCAGGCTTCGGTCACTGCTAGGCCTCTGTTAGTGCTGCTCTTGCCAGATCTGGTCGAGGCCTGGTGCAGCGAGAGTGCCATGGGGCCATGTGGGTCCAGGAGGCAGCCCTGGTTTATGCATCCTGACCCCAGGATAGAGAACCAGGTGGCAAGTCTCCTAGAACAGCCCTGCGACAGCCCACACAGGTCACGACAGCCCGCAGGGACGGAGGGTGGTCTCCAGCCAGCAGCGCCTGGGCATGCGCAGCACCCTGGGAGCTCAACCTACCTGGGCCGAGAGCAGGAGTGGTACGTGGCCTCCTGGGCAAGAAAACCTAATTTTTGCCCCTTCCCTTTGCTCTGAAGGGCTGACCCCAGGCCCTAGCCTTCCTGCCCCACGCCCGGATGCCTTCCCAACACCCTTACCTCTCACAGGGTGGGGGTAGGGCCTCCTGGGACCCCAGTGCCAGCCCCAGCAGGAGCAGCGCCAGCTCACAGATCCTCCCGGCCATGGCAGCTGAGTGAGCAGGCTTGGGCAGCTCTGGGGCACCGCTGGCTCACCTGCCCATCAGTCAGCCAAAGTCCAGGCCCTAGGCGTGGCCACCCGAGTGTATGAGGGCCCGGCTTGCACTGCCCAGGTCTCTGGGGTTACCCCTATTTCTACTTTTTTTTAGAATTATTTTTAAATTTTTAACTTTATTTATTTATTCATTTATTTTTATTTGACCAGGGAGGGACAGAGTGAGAGAGAGGAAAAGTGAGAAAGCAAGCCACCAGGTCCAGGACTCGAACCGTGGTCTGCCATGTGGTGTGTGCATGTGTGCCCAAGTCTGGCGCCCTCAACTACCACACCACTTGCCAGCCTCCCTATTTCCACTTTTTTGCCTCTTCTGATTCTCGGATTCAGCTGGAGCCGCCTGCTCAGGCCTCTCCCTCAGAATTGTTGGGGTGAGTTTGGTGGATAAGTGGCTGAGGGCTAGGGACAGAATTGAGGCCACATGTCCATGACCTAAGTGCCAGCTCCTTGGGTGACTCCAAGTCTACCAGCCTCAGAGGTTTACTATCTCCTTTAACTTCTCAAATAAAATGGTTTCAAATTTTGCCCCGGTGTAGAGCAAGACCTACAGACCCTCATTGTTTTTTTGTTTTTTTTTTTTTTTAGAGATTTTCACTGTAGGGTGCGTGCGCTCGCCAGACAGAGAGAGACATAGAGACAGAAAGCGAGAAATCACCCCCCAGGGGGGATGCAGACCCTCATTGTTATCCACGAGAGATGCTGGGTTGGGGGTAGCAGATGGCGTAGTGGTTACATCGCTGGACTCCCACATGGTTGACTGCACTTGGAATCCCGGACCCAGTGACTTGAAATCATTCTGGGTGTGTGTGCATGTGTGCCCAAGACCCTGGGAGGAGAATGGAGGAGAAGGAAATGCGGCGTGGCCATCCCCGCTGGGGCGTTATTTCTGTGCTTCCTGCCCCTACCCACCACCACGGGGGGACATTTACAATGTGTCCTGAAGATTGCTTAGGAGTTTGCCAAGGGAAGGGACAGGGGAGACATTCTAGTGTACATAGAGTATATTTTTAGGAGAATGATCCTGGCTGGAGAGAATGTGAGGTTCAAACAGGGGAGGGTGAGAGGGGAGACAAGGCTGAGGGACATGATGGGGCCAGTTCGTACCAGCCTCTGCCAAGCCAGCAGAGGAGTCTGTGAGCGAATGCAGCAGGATTAGGTCTGCTGTGCATAGCCTGTCCCCTGGGCATCATGGGAGATGCATCAAAGGGGCAGTGGACAGGCAGAATAGGGGCGGCCACACGGTCCAAGTGACGGGGCTCAGGTCTGAAATAACCCAGGGGCTGGGGGAGAGGAGTGTCTCTACTCCAGCCGTCATAGGTGAGTTTAGTGATTGGCGACCTCCCCAAAGACTCAGGCTGGCTGCTGAGCGCGCTGGGTACAGCACCTGAGTGCAGTTTGTTAAACAAACTAAACAAACATCTTTTGGCAAGTTAAATGCAGCAGAATTCAGTTAGCAAAGATACGATTTATAAATCAGGCAGCACCCAAACAATTCTGTTTTCTGGACCTCACAGTACAGTTTCAGGGAGCTCTGCAGAAATGTGAGCACGTGGTCTTTATGGACAGAAATAGAAAGTGCTGAGCACAAACCGCCTGATGGGGTACAGCCAGACGTTCACTTTATTTGGACACGTCTGAACAGCTGGCAACCCATGACTGGCCAAAAGCTTGGCTGCTGTGATTGGCTGAGACTTGGTTACGTGTTACAAGGATACACTCTCAGGTTGCAGTCTGTTTACATTTTTAAAATTTATTTAATTTTTATTAATTATTATTTTTAATTTGTTATGTACTCACCAGAGAAAGATGAGAGAGAGAGCAAGTGAGAAAGTAAGCCACCAAGTTCGGGACTTGAACCGCAGTAAGCCACGTGGTGGTCCAGGGCTTTAACCATCACACCACCTGTCAGCCCCCATTTTTTTTCCCCAGGGAGAAATTCTTGTTATAGGGTGCGTGCATTCACTGGAGACACAAAAGAGAAACAGAGAGATAGAAAGTGAGAAATCACCCCCTGGGGGAATGGCCATGCCACAGTCCCTTCTCCATTCTCCTCTTGGGATTTTGGGCACTCACACACATGCAACCAGCATGAGTTACAAGTTGCTGGATCTGGGGCTTGAATCATGGTTGGCCATGTGGGAGTCCAGTGATGTAATCATTATCCATCTGGTGATCCCTAAACAAAGTTTAAAAACAAACTAGCCAACAGCAAAAATTAAAAAAAATATACATAGACAAATGGAACATGATATATAACCCAGAATTTGTCTTGTAACTCTTACAGAAGGCCAAATCCAGGCTAGCCTGCTGCAAGATAAGATGCCATGTGGAGCAGAACCCAGCTAGTCCAACAAAGGACCCTCACCCTACAGACAGAAAATCTCCAAATGTGGAAGAACTTAGCAAAGCACCTTCAGCTGACTCATAGGTGACTACAGATAGAACAGGAGACCAGAAGTCTTCCCCAAATAGATGACTATGTGATAGAAAAGAAAAACATTGTCATAAATCATTTATTTTAGAATGGCTTGTTATGCAGCAGCAGCTTACTGATACAATAATCAATGTGAACAGGATTGAGAACATTCAAATGCTCCTTCTTATATATGGTATTTGTTTTGATATCTAAAGGCAGACTTCATGTAAACAAACTACCTGGTTGTTTACATTTATTTCAGACCCTATATTAAAAAGTAATTATTAACAAGATTCCACTCCAGGTAACTAGGAAAGGTTGGAAGGACATACATGTTTATGTAGGAATAATTTGTGAACCTGAATCAAAATTTATACTTTCAGAGACATTATGGGGCAGGATTCTAATGCTTGTGTGTGTCATGCTTTACTCACCAACACTGAAGATAGTTTACAACATAAAAGATAAAATTAAATGTATGATAGAATAAATACACATAGGAGGAGTCTTTGAAAAGTTCATAGGAAATGAGTATTATAAAAAACTAGTCATAGATTTCAAAATATCTGTTTGCATCAAAATAAACTTTTACATGTGCATAGCCTGTCCCCTGGGCATCATGGGAGATGCATCAAAGGGGCAGTGGACAGGCAGAATAGGGGCGGCCACACGGTCCAAGTGACGGGGCTCAGGTCTGAAATAACCCAGGGGCTGGGGGAGAGGAGTGTCTCTACTCCAGCCGTCATAGGTGAGTTTAGTGATTGGCGACCTCCCCAAAGACTCAGGCTGGCTGCTGAGCGCGCTGGGTACAGCACCTGAGTGCAGTTTGTTAAACAAACTAAACAAACATCTTTTGGCAAGTTAAATGCAGCAGAATTCAGTTAGCAAAGATACGATTTATAAATCAGGCAGCACCCAAACAATTCTGTTTTCTGGACCTCACAGTACAGTTTCAGGGAGCTCTGCAGAAATGTGAGCACGTGGTCTTTATGGACAGAAATAGAAAGTGCTGAGCACAAACCGCCTGATGGGGTACAGCCAGACGTTCACTTTATTTGGACACGTCTGAACAGCTGGCAACCCATGACTGGCCAAAAGCTTGGCTGCTGTGATTGGCTGAGACTTGGTTACGTGTTACAAGGATACACTCTCAGGTTGCAGTCTGTTTACATTTTTAAAATTTATTTAATTTTTATTAATTATTATTTTTAATTTGTTATGTACTCACCAGAGAAAGATGAGAGAGAGAGCAAGTGAGAAAGTAAGCCACCAAGTTCGGGACTTGAACCGCAGTAAGCCACGTGGTGGTCCAGGGCTTTAACCATCACACCACCTGTCAGCCCCCATTTTTTTTCCCCAGGGAGAAATTCTTGTTATAGGGTGCGTGCATTCACTGGAGACACAAAAGAGAAACAGAGAGATAGAAAGTGAGAAATCACCCCCTGGGGGAATGGCCATGCCACAGTCCCTTCTCCTCCACTCTTCACTCAGGATTTTGGGCACGTGTGCACACGCCCCTGGCATGAGTTTCAAGTCACCAGGTTTAGGACTCAAACTGCAGTTGGCCATGTGGGAGTCCAGCGACATAACCATCATGCCATCTGCTGGCCCCAGGTTGCAGTTTGTTTACATTTTTAAGTTCGTTGCATATGGAGGAAGTATTTGGCCAATTTTAATTTAACAATTCCCCCCTTTTGTCAGCCTCTCACGATACCGACCAAAACCTCGGGCACGGATGCCGCTTTCTGCCGACGTTGTAAAGGGCTTATCTGGTCTCCGTGTGGAACCCTGGTATTGCTACCCTTAATATCCTTCATGTCAGATGATTCTTTATGCTTTCTTCATGTTTTTGTTAGTCTAACCATAATGAGACCATTCAATGTAGGGAGAATGACTCCCTCTGAGCATTTAGGACTCTTGAAGGGATCCGACACCCCAGGGAGACTATTTGGGTGGCTATTGGAGAGTCCAGCAGGTGGTGTAGTGGTTACATCTCTGAACTCCCACAAGGCTGACCGCAGTTCGAGTCCCGGACCCAGTGGCTGGAAACTTATGCTGGTCATGTGTGCATGAATGCCCACAATCTTAGGGGAGAATGGAGGAGAGGGGATTGTGGTATGGCCAAGCCTTCAGGGGGTGAGTTCTCATTTTCCCTCTCATTGTCTCTGTCTCTCTCTCCAGTGAATGCATGCACCCTAAGGCACAAACCCCTGCAAAATAAATAAATAAATAAATAAGATGGCTACTGGGATAATACCAAGAACTGAAGTATGCTTTTTTGAAGACATTTTTGCTATAGGGTTCATGTGCTCGCCAGAGAGACAGACGGCGAGAAAGCATCCCTGGGGGGATGGCCACACCACAGTCCTTTATCCTTATTCTCTTCTTGGGATTTTGGGCATGCACACACACGTGCCCAGTATAAGTTTCAAGCTGCTGGATCTGGGATTTAAACTGTGGTTGGCCATGGGAAAGTCCAGTACCCTAACCACCACGCCACTTGGTGACCCTTAGTTGGAATGTTCTAAAGTTAATTTGAGGTCAAGAAAAAGACTT